ACTGCTTTTGCTGCATCCCACATGTAGCAAAACATTTTGATGTTTTGTTTTCATTTAGTTCAAAATATTTTTAAATTTATCTTGAGATTTCTTCTTTGATCATGTGCTCTTTTGAAGTGTGTTATTTAATTTTTGTGTAATTTGGGATTTTCTGGTTATCTTTCTGTTATTGATTTCTAGTTTAATTCCATTGTGGTCTGAAAGCAGATATCATATGATTTCTGTATCTTTACATTACTTAAGGTGTGTTTTATGACCCAGAATGTGACCTATCTTGGTGAATGTTCCATGTCAATTTGAGAAGAATGTGTGTTCTGCTGTTGTTGGATGAAGTAGTCTATAGATGTCAATTATATCCAGTTGATAGATGGTGTTGTTGAATTCAGCTATGGTCTTACTGATTTTCTACCTGCTGGACCTATCCATTTCTGATACAGGGGTGTTGTCATTTACTTATTTTTGACTAATAAAGTGTCTTGCAGGGAAAGTAGAGGTTATACTTGGAAAAATCTCTTCATTAATAATATTTCACTTCCCTTCATGCTTCAGAATTTTCACACATCTAGTTATATGGTATAGAAAAAAATAAAGCATTTTCACATTTGTGAGTTTGTTACACTCAAATGAATGTAAATAACTATAATAATAATACAATCAATATACAACAAACAATAAATCAACATAAATATCAACTATAAAGTAAGAAACAATCCCATACACCTCCTAAGTGAAAGAAAATATAATCATCCAAGCAATTTGGCTTTTTTTCTCAAACAATGCCAAATCAGAAAAGTCATGATGTATGTTTGTGATAGATGGCACTAGTTCATTTTTGGAAGTACTAGAGTCATTCGCATATATGTTATTGCTATATCATTTGACAGTTGACCGTTCTAGCTTCAGCCTAAAAAAAAAAATAAGCAATTTGGTTGAGTTTGGGAGATTTTACAACAAGTTTAAGATGGAAGACTAAACTGTGCATTTTTGCCATATTTTATTCTTTTACTTCTATAAAGGGAAGAACACACGTCAAGCTTGTGAAAAGTTGCAAAAAGTTTACAGTGACAATGCTCTACAAGAACATCTGTGCCAGCGATGGTTTACGAAATTTCATGCTGGTGATTTTGATCTCAACAATGCTCCTCGGTCAGGGAGGCACACTGAGGTCGATGACGACAAAATAAAGACATTAATTAAGTCAAACACACATTACACGACAGGAGAGTGCAGAAACATTGAACATCCATCATTCAAGCATTTACGACCACCTGAAGAAGCTGGGATACGTAAGAAAGCTTGATATTTGGGTTCCGCATGAACTCAAAGCATTTGACGGCACGTAAAAACATCTGCAATATGCTCATTAAACTTGAGGAAAACGATCCTTTTTTGAAGCAACTGTAAACTGGTGATGAGAGGTGGATTGTTTACAACAATGTAGTGTGCAAACGGTCTTGGTCCTGACGTGATGATTTGCCTCAAACAACATCGAAAGCAGACATTCATCAGAGAAAGGTTATGCTCTCAGTGTGGTGGGATTTAAAGGTGTCATGTTTTCGGGCTTCTACCAAGGAACCAAATAATCAATTCGAATGTGTACTGTCGGCAATTGGACAGTTTGAATGAATCCATCATCCAGAAACGTCCAGAGCTTGTTCATTGTAAAGGAGGAGTGTTCCATCGTGACAATGCGACCCCACACACAAGTTTGATCACCCGTCAAAAATTATTGAGCTTGGATGGGATGTGTTGCCATACCTATCATACTCACCTGACCTTTCACCGTCAAACTTCCACTTGTATCGCTCTCTTCAAAACTCCTTGCATGGTATAACGTTCAATTCAGATGAGGCTGTAAATCAACACCTTGTTCAGTTTTTCGAAAATAAAGACAGGTCCTTCTATGAATGAGGAATTATGAAGCTCACTGAAAGATGGCAAAAGGTTACAAACAAAATGGGCAATATATGCTTGATCTTTGTTCTTTATATAAATAAATGACCTTTGAAAAACATAGACAAAATATGTCATGACTTTTCCAAAAACCCAATAATAATGATGGCAGTAGCCAAAATGAAATTACTTGTCAATCAAGATATGCTTAGACTATTTAGATCATAAAAATAATATGCTAAACTACAGATATGCTTTGCATTATTAGGCTTTAAGACTCTGAATTTACAGAGCTATACACAGTAGTTCTTAAATGATATTCATACATCAGACTGAGGTATTAGAGTCAGGAGGGGTGTTTAAAGAATACATTTGACTCCTAAGTAGTTTAGATATAGCTCTAATTCTACAGATAACATTCAGCTATAATGATTTCTTCACATTTTCTGTACTTAGCCTTTATACCCAGCTGTAGACTTTATCTGTTCCTCAAGTTTTGCTACTTCAGTCCACATTTTGGATGCTCCATTCACTCCATGGATCTACTCTCATTCTGTTCTATATCATTTTCATCCCACATAGCAACATTAACAAATGAGATTTTCAAAAGTAAAAAAACTTGTATATAGTGACACTATAAAGAGATAAGTTTGACATTGATTCTTAGCAAAATTATAAAATATTATTAGCAATGGTTCTAAGCACTTAGAAAAGAATGTAGTGGGGATCACTGATACCAGAACGGGTTAATTTGAAACAGACCCTGTTTAACTAGCTTTGCTCTTTTTTTTTTTTTTAATAGTTACTTGGACTGGTAGATTTAGGGATGCTAGAGACAATGCATTTTCATTTCAGCAAAGCATCTAGAAAAACTTTCATGAAATCCTTATAGTATGATTACATGAACTAAAGTGCTTGATCTCGAAAAGTATTGGTTAATCAGTGATTGTTTTCTTGGAGACCATTTCGGGTGGTAGGCTGTAAGGCTTTTATCTAATCCTGTTTTATGTTACTATTTTTTGTTGGTTTTATTTTTAATTAGACTTATGTGGAAACAAAGAAGGCATATTCATTAAATTTACTGATATTATAAACAAAAAGTGATCAGTACTATAACATTTCTTTATCTGAAATTGTCCTAAAACAAACAAGATGAGATTTAATAAAGATAAAAGAAAAAAATTAAGTTTAAACATATAGAATTATAGAAGTATAGATTATGTAAGGTGGAAGGCATGATTTATTGTAGTCCATGCGTAATAGACTGGGGTTTTGTTTTGTTTTTTACTCTAGGTAATATGTTTGCTAAAAGAAAAACCCAATTAATGTAGGTTTGAGATGACTTGGGAGAGTATGCTGCACAAAGGGGCTACTGATCAGTCCATGACTTAATTCTTGGCACACTGTATTTGAATATTGTGTTTTTTTCTGAGTGTTTAGTTTAAGGAGAATGAAAAATCAAAGCACATTCAGAGCAGGGAAAAGAATGTGGTTAGAAGTAGACGGGCTCACCATGCCATTTGAGGAATAGTGAAAAGAACCAGAGATTTTGAAGAAGAGGAAAGTATTAGCAGATCTTCTGGTAGTTAGTTAACAGCTTGCTTGAAATATTTCAAGGCTTTCAAAGTCTATAAGGAAAGGTTAGTTTTGTGTGGTTCTTAGGGCCAGAACCCATACCAGTCACGTAAGTTAAAGCAAGTTAATTTGATGCTCACAAATCAAATGATGTAGGCTTTAGAGTTAAGCAGATCTAAATTTTAAATTTGATGTCAGTGTTGGCTTTAGCAAAAGGAATGAAACTTCTGAGCTTCATTTTCCTAATATGCTAAATAGGTATAATAAGCTCTATCTCATTTTAAGGACTAGAAATAATATATAAAAAAATGCATAGTTCCTGGCATAGGTAAATACTTAATAAATAATCATGATTATACATAAATTGATAAAGAGTAGAGATTTCCAACATTGGGAAGATTCAAGTGGAAGGTGTTGTAAAGGGAATACTGGAGAGATGATTCCTACTAAAGATAGGGAATTGGCCTTAAGATCTATTCCAACTTTTAATATAAGGTTTTCATTTCCACCTTAGCCTGAAATCTCCTTTCCCCTCACTGCTTTTTCCTTGCTTCACAAAGCAAGCAGGTCCAATCTATTTTAACCAAGCTTACTTTATAGTATTTTGTTGACTTCTGGAAGTCAACTGTCTTTAAAGAACTTAGAACAGGAGCATAGCTATGAAAAATGAGGTGTTTTAACAGTAAGAAAATACAATGTTCACAGACCAGACTTCTCATTCAGTGGCTCCGTGAGCTACTTAGGGAGGAGGCGAATGTTACAGGGTTGGATAAGTTACTAACTGAGGCACCAACTGAGAGAAGCCTCCACTACTTCAAACCACATCAAACTCTTGGCAAGAGCGACGTGAAAAATGTGGTCCAGGTCAGGTGTGAAGCAGGTCTGGACTTGCTGGCTGGAGCTAAGGACAGGCAGTTTGGAAACTCCCAGGGACCGAAAGGAGGCCCTTGGATGCCACCAGTTTACAGCATGAGTTTTAGAGACAAAACAAAGAGGACAGCGACAAAAGTGGTGAAATACGTTGGAGGGCCCCAGAAGGAAGATGAAAGCTGGCGGGTCCTTGGCGGGTGTTATGGGCTTACAACCCATAGGATAGTGGCCTTGAGTTGTGCACCAGGACTCCAGGCATCAAACCTTGCCCAGGGGCGAACCTCTACCGGTGTCTCCCAGCTGCTTGTCAGTCCTGCTAGGGCACTTCTGGAAAACCCTTCGGCGGCCGGCAACCTTGGTCGGGCTTTGATCGGAGTCTTGATAACTGGGCGCAGTGCCCTGCCTCCTTTCCCCCAGCCCCTCTCCCGCCCACCGGGTCCCAGCAGCTTGTTTGCCTCCAGCGCTTGGGGGTCGACCAGATACTCCCGGACTCGGCTGCAGGCAAGACCCGGAGAGCGGAGTTCGCTCCCGGCGGCCGGGCGCGCTCGCGCGCGCTCTCCCGCTCGCGCCTCACGAGGGCACTGGGCATGCGCGGCGCGCGGCCGGCGCTGGCTGGGAGCTGCTGAGCGGGCTAGCGGGCGGGCACATCCAGACTTCATAGGCTGCGGCGGGCGAGGCGGCGTAGCGGAGCGCTCGGTCCGCGCTGGGCTCGCCCGGGAGATCGCTGCTCGGCGTCTGGGCGCAGACAGCGGCGCGGCGGCTCGCGGAGGACGGGGAGGGCGCCGGCCGGCCAGGTCGGAGGCTTTTCCCCTGGCCACCTCCTGCCTCGTCTGGGCTCGAGGCGCCTCCGGGGAAACTCGCGGCCCCGAAGGCGGATCCGAGGTAAGAGCCCCTCGGCGAAAGGCGCCCGCCGGGCTCCGACGGTTGGAGCTCTCCCTCGGTTTTCAAAATCCGCCTTTGTGCTCTTGGGTGGAACGGGGCCAGGCGCCGCGTCCGCCTGCGTTCACTTTGACTGCTTTCAACTGGTGTCGGGAGCCAGGTGTGCGCGTCCGCGCGCCGGTCCTGCCGCCCCGGGAGCCGGGGTCCGCCCTCCGCCGCCCGCCCGGCGCCGCCCGCCGCTCCGCGGGCTCCGGGCAAGGTGGGCAGAGGAGAGGCACCGTGCCCCAGTCATCGTTCCCGGTAACCTGAGCTCCCGCACATACACCTGCGCTGATCAGGGCGGTGGCGCGGCCGCAGAACGAGTCTTCTTCTCACCGTTGATCTTAGATTTGGGGTTGCGAGAGCTACCCTCCCCGCCCCCACCTGGGGGAGAGCTTTTCCAATGAACACTTGGGGGCAAGGTCTCGCTCACCATCGCGTTCCTCCTCAGATTCACAGAGCTCATCGTTTTGGATGAGTTGTCACGTCTCATTCCTGTTGACTTTCCTTCCTTTCTTCCCTCGCTCCGCTTGACTCCATCCTTGGACTTTTGTGAAGACGGCCTTTCCGGCGTCTCTGTCCGTTGATGCCTTTTGAGTGTGTATTTCCCCGCCTATGTACACCCTGCTTGCTCCCTGCTGCCTCTCTCCACTTTCCTTTCGAGGACTACCTGGATGCAGAGTCTTTGCGCCGATTGTTCGCCTCCTTTTCATTGTGTCTCACATCCTCCTCTTCCCTGAGTACCCACAATACTGCTGGAATCTCTTTGGGGATAGGAGGCTGTAGTGTTATCATTTGAAACCTATAAATGTCTAGAGCGGTAGAGCATTAGGAATTGGAGTCCTCCTTTACAAAATACATTTCAGTGAAATACATTATTGCTTTTCTTTTTTAAAGGCTTTTCAGTTCTTGCCTCAGATAATCAGAGGAATAGCAAATACCTTATGAGTTCAGGTAAAACTTGGTTCCGGATGCATGCGAACACTTTGATTTTGGCTTTGTCATTTTGGGGAGATGGGAGAAAGGATTTCCAGAAGGCTCCTTTATATATATGTATGTAACAACAAAGCAGCTGTGTTGCGTACTGCTTCTAATTTGTTTCCAGTGAATGGATACCATTCTTTTACAGAGACTTGGGTTTTGGAACGTGTACACTAGTAATTTAGATTATGTGGTCTTTGAAATGAAAGTCAATGTCATCCCCAGTCACCTAGGAGAGATTTTCTATTTGACTTGGAGTTTCTGGTCTGGAAAATTTTTGCTCATGGGTTCACACTTTTACTTACAATTTGAAAAATAATGCACTTTATAGACTTGCCTGGTAAAAGGGTGGGCTAGAATGTATCACAAATGTAATGACATTTGATAGAATGCCTTTAGTGCAGAATTCATAGGTTAAGACTTTGTAAAATTCCACAAGTCATTCACTTCACTAAAAGAAAACTTGCTTTTAGTTCTACTATTCTGATATAACCACTTTTAAAATAATATTTGGTACATTCTCTTTGAAATCTGTTTCCCCTCCTACTTTTCAATGTCATTCAATATTATTATATAGTGATTTTCAGCCCTTTATTAGTAGCAGGGGAATACTTAAAATTAAGTTGTATTTAAGGTGATTTTTTTTTCAAAATAGTTTATTCTTGTTTGTTCCCTGTCAGGAATCTCATGGTTAATTTTGAACACTTTGCTTGTTAATCAAATGGAAAGACATTGTGTTTTTATGTCTAGCTTTTCTTGCTTTCAATTTTTTATCTATACTGATACTTTTCAGATATCAGTCCTTTTCTATTCCATGACATAGATTTTCTATGCTTTTAATGTTTTAATTTTATACATTAAAAAATCCTAGTCCTACCCTTTTCTTACACTATACTACATACACGTTCACCGCTACTTTTTCTTCTTTCTCTACTGACTCTCCTGTTTTCTCCAATTACCTATATTAATTCTCCATCAGCTCACTTGAACCATGGTTTGTATAAGAAACTATAGTATCCAGAATAAAAGATAATAGTTTTTTTCAAGTTCTCTCTTTAGATGCTTGATGTTTTGTTGAATGAGTATTTTAGCACTGATTTGGTTTATATAAAATTTAGGTTAGCTTTTCTGGGTTGTAGTAAACATATTTGGTAGTTATTTAGATCATCAGAAAACAACTTAAGTTAATGATAGGTTACAAACTTTCAGACATCTGCAATGGTACATAAGGAGGAAAAGTGGAATTTTAGTTAAAGTACTTCAGCTATAATAGATCCCTGCTGGGAATTACTGCATGAAATTGTTTGCAGCTGTTAGTGATTGAAAATATTTGCTTAAGAAAAATCCTGTAACAGAATAGTTGTAAACATTTTAATTTATACAGGGAAGGTGTGAAGTTCTTCAGTGCTTCACTATACAGTTTCTTCAGTGTTTTCTAGATACATTCTTAAATGAGAGTTTTACAAATATATTTTATTTATTAGATCAGCTTTAGATTTGTAGAAAAGGTGTCAAGTTAGTACAGTGACTTCTCGTATATCCCCATACCCAATTTTCCTTCTTAACATCTTACATTAGTATTTGTTAAAATTAATGAACCACTATTAGTACTAACTAAAGTTTATACTTTATTTGGATTTCCTTAGTTTTTATGTAATGTCTTTTTTCTGTTCTAGGATTCTATCATCTAGGATATTATATTACACTTAGTTGTCATGACTCCTTAGACTCCTCTTGCCTGTGACAGTTTGTTAGACTTTCTTTGTTTTTGATGACCTTCACAGTTGTGAGGTGTACTGGATAAGTATTTTTTAGAATGTTCCTGTATTGGAATTAATCTATTGTTTTTCTCATAATCAGACTGAGTTTTTGGGTTTTGGGGAAGATCACAGAGGTAAAGTGCTATTTTTATCACATCATATAAAGGGTACATACTGTCAACATGATTTATCACTCTTGATATTGATATTGATCACCTGGCCGAGGTAGTGTTTTTTGGGTCACTGCACAGTGCACAGCCTGTACTTAAGGAATGGAGAGTTAATGCTTCTCCTCCTTGAGTGTGGAGTGTTTATGTAAATTATTTGGAATTCTTCTGCATGGCAGATTTGTCTCTTCTCTCCATTTATTTACTCAATCATTTACTTATATTTGATCTGGACTCATGGAGATATATATATATATATATATATATGTATATATATATATATGTATATATATATATATATATACATGTATATATATATATATATATATACTTGGGTTATAATCCAGTGCTACTTGTTGCTCAG